TCGTCCAATTCCACCTCTTCGAGCAGGGCAGCCGGTTCCAGACGAGCGTCAAAGTCGGCTTGTCTGGCCTTCTCAGTGATGCTGTTGACCCGGGCCTCCCGCTCTCTGAACCTCTCCATGGCCTTGGTGTAGCAGGCCCTGGCCATGTGCGGGTCCGTGCGGGCCACCCCCACCCCAGTTTCAGTAGGGAATTTGATGCATGAGTGCCGCACGGAGCATATGGCCTCAAGATCCTCCAGGCCGGGCCGGCCCAAAATTGCGTTGTGAGCACATTTTAGGCGGACCACGACGAACGTCATCCGGATGTGGGTGGTGTGGGGTCCATCCCCGATCTCCACGGGGAGGCCGATGGTGCCTTCCGCATCGATGCAATCCCCCGTGAAGCCAGAAAGGGGGGTGCGTAGGGGGGCCAGCTGATCTTTCCTCAATTTCATCCCCTCGAACGCCTCCCAGTAGAGGACGTTCACGCTGCTTCCAGTATCCACAAGGATGCGTCGGACGATCGCATTGTTGACATCCATGCTGATCACCAACTCATCCCTGTGAGGGGCCGGTGACATCGGTAGGTCGGCCGGTCCAAAGGTGATGGCCTCCACCTTGTTCTTTTTGGCGGGGGGAGCTGATATGGAGCCCACGTAGAGGGACCTTTCAAACTTCTTCTGTTCCGCAGGCGTGTCCCCAGTCTCAGCGCCCCCAATGATCACCTTGATCTCCAACTTCTTCTTCCCGCCGTTCGGGCCGAGGGACCCCTCCGGACGTTTATCAGCACTCCGATAGTCTACGTCCTTTGGTTCCGCCTCGCGCCGATCGTCGCGGCGCCATGATCGCGACCTCGGATTCGGCTGCCTCGGGCTATTCTTCTTCAGTAGCTGGGTGAACTCGCCCAGGTAGCCTTGCCGGATCAGCTCGTCGATGGCCATTCTCAGCTGCTTGCAGTTGTCGGTGAGGTGGCCGACCCTCTGGTGGTATTCGCAATATGCGGTCTTATCAAGACCCATAAGCGCCTTCTTGTCTTGGGGCTCCCTTAGGATGCCCTTATCTTTGATGGCGTCAAAAATCTGGTTGACGGGGTAAGCCAGAGGGACGTGGTACTCGTCCGGACGCATGCGGCTGGCCTCCGGATGAGCCTTCCACGGAACTATGCCGCTGTCCGTCTTCTTCTTTTTGTTTGGGGGGGATGGCCCCCCTCCGGGGCCGAGCCTGTCCGCCAATTTTCGGGAAGGGGCTGCAGGCGCGCCGTCCCTCAATCTGATCTCCTCCTTAATGGAGGCATACTTCTGCGCCCGAGCCAGCACCTCGGTGTAGCTGGTGCTGGGGTTCCTCCGAAGGTCCCGGTATAGGTCCCCCTTTGCCAGAGCACTGGTGAACATGTTTACCCCCAGCCGCTCGTCCAGGTCATCCACCTGGAGTACTTCGTCTCTCCACCTGACCAGGAATTGGGCCAGAGGTTCGTCCTTCCCCTGCTTCACACTGGTGAGCGATGTGAAGCTCTTCTTGGGGGTGGTGCTGGCAGCGAATTGGGCCATGAACTGCTGGGACAGCTGTTCGTAGTTGTCAATAGATCCGGGCTTCAGCTGCCCGAACCATTCCTGCGCCGGTCCCCTCAGGGTGCTGAAGAAGAGCCGGCAGATAGCCTCGTCGGATGCTCCCAGCATGGAAAGGTTCCCCTGGAAGCTGATCAGGTGAGCCTTGGGATCCCCGGTCCCATTGTACACTATCCCCTGAGGGGGCCTGCAGTCCCGCGGGATCTCTGCATTCATGACCCTCGGAGTGAAAGGCGAGGTGAGGGAGAAACGGGGCGTGGCTGGGACGGCCTCCGCCCGTCTGTCCATTGCGGCTATTCGCCGCTCCATTGCCTCTAGCCGGGCCTCCTGTGCGGCCCTTCCGGGGGACACGGGGGGGGGGCCTCGAGCGCAACGTTCCTTCGAGGGGCAACCGCGTCGGGTTGCCTTCGGGTGATATGGGCACCATGCCTTTGGAAACGTCGTCCAATATTACTAGCAGCGGGGGTGATGGTGGTGCCCTGATGTTCTGAGGGAACGTTCGGCGTACGCCCCCGATGATCGTCCTGCCAACCATATCGAGGGGTGCTGGCGCTGGTGTGCCCCCCAGCTCCGTGGGAGGACGGATTTCGACCCAACCTCATGTGGATGGGCGTCCGACGCCCGGCAGATTCCGCTGTCTCATCCAGGGACTGCATGCGTTGGATGGGCGATATGGGCGTCCAGATGGTGTTAGCTGAGTACACCTCTTCGTTCGCCTCCTGTTCGTCCGCCATTCGGCGCATCGTTTCCGCCAGCTCCCTCATGAGTCGAGGGTCGCGTCTGGCCTCATGGGGGATGAGGTTTGTGAGGCCATCCTCACCCCCAGTTGTCCCCAACGTCTCGGAACGTTCCGTGGTTTGCCCGCGGATGCTTCGTCCGCGGGACAGCTGCTCGGAGAGGTCACGTTGGCGGTTGTTTCCTGTCATCGTGCTTGCTGTGGGTAGAATTAGTAGCTGTTTGGGAGAGTTTTTTTGGAAACTTTTAGTTCAGTTTCCCACAGACGGCGCCAGTGTTGAGGTTTATTCCTTCAACCCTCAGGCCCAACACGTAAGCCCAAAGATTTCGAGTGGAGTGAGTGTATGAGTAAGTGAATATCTAGCCCAACAACTTGCAGATGGATCAGGAAACAGAACAAATAGCAGGCAATGTAAATAGGTATTATTAACTTCGTAATAACTCCCCTAAATACAATCTACTTGCTAAAAAGGCACGTCGGCCGTTCGTCTTACGAGGTAGTGTAGATGCTACCGGTAAGAACGCTATAGCTCGAATGCTAAGAATAGAAAGTTGCCAACCCTTTACAATGAAATAAATGCTCCTATTTATACCCGCCAATGGGCAGGTGGCTATGCTGACGTGGAGGCCTGTGGACCGCTTGTGTCCCAACCACCAAATCTTCAGCATTAAATGCACTTCCCGCCAGAATCTAGGTTTTCCGCCTAAATGATGGGGACGTTCGTCCGCCTGGGAAGCGAGCTGGATCGCTCCAAGTGACCCTCAAGAGGTTTCGGCTGTTCGTCTCCTGGCCTTGATGGATTCTCTCCATGTGGACTGGATTTCCTCTGATGACTACGGGCTTGCCCAGGAGACGTTCGTCGTCATCCCTGATGGCCCGTGGTCCTGCTTCTTGTCCCCGCATAGACGTTCGTCGAGGTGGGCCGTTGAGCCTAAGAGCCCTTAACACAAGACGTTCGTCCCTCCCCAAGGAACATGGGCCTGCGGGCTAACCTTGTGTTCTAACTGGACGTACGTCTTGTAAAAGGGGGTTAATGGGCCGGACCTCGGCTTGGGCCATTAACCCAACATATTCTAAAGTTATTTTGTTTCTTTGGAGAACCTCAGGAATGATCAGGAGTGAATGATGTCAAGAGTGATTATATATGCAGAAATCTTACGCATGGTACCTTCATAGATTACCAGGAGCATTGCCTCTCAAGATTTTTGTTGGATACTCAATTTACAAGAAGAACAAATCCCCATAAGTGATTGAGATGGAAAAGGGAGAGAAGATGGGACATCAGACTAAGGAGGGCGCGAGATATGGCCAAAGTAGAAAGAAAGGAAAAGAATTTGAAAACTTGAAATATGTGTGATAACTCATTGTAATTTGTTAGTGAGGTTGAACTATATAGGGATGATAATTTGTATTGTACGATAGTGTTATTTAGGAATTTTGGAGATATGTGATTCTTTGAGAATTATGATTGTTATTAGTGTTTATACGATACTCAGATGTAGAAATGATTTTTTATTTATTTTATGAACATTTAATTTTATGATGAAAACCAGTTTTAAAACCATTTTAAAACAAAAATAATATACCAATAGTAGAAGCCTATTTGCTGCGGTTTAAAATCTATTTGCTGCGGTTCATAACCGCAGCAATAAGTTATATTCATTTTTTAGAATAGCTATTTGTTGCGGTTCGCAACCGCGGCAAATACGTTTTTCCATTATTTGCTGCGCTGCCAATTGCTGCGGTTCAAAACCGCAGCAAATAGGTAAAATTGACCGCATCAAATAGCTATTATTCTAGTAGTGATTGGGAGGTCTCACATGAGTATTAAACCTCTCTTTTTTATTCCAATGACAAAATCCCTCCGTTATAAAGGAGTTGCAGCGAAAGATGGAGCTTTGCGCACAAGGAGTCAAGGAGTCAGGAACCGTGTGTCCAAAATTCTCCTTTGCTAACTTTTCAATTGGTTTAAGTTGGTGTTCCAACTTTTAAAAGTTTTACATTGACCCCCATTTTTTTAAATGATGGACGGGTGTCAATTTATAATTTATGAAAAATTATATATACCTATATAGAGTTTTTATTTTTCAGTGGTGTCAATTAAAATTTTAAAAGGAAAATCATACCTATATATGGGGGGAATCCAGTGGTGTCAATTGACACCACACCTCAAAGGGTGGCTCCGCCACTGAACTGTAGCCATCGCCTGAGTCTTCAACCACTGCATCGGCATCCATGACCAAGAATGAGGCTTTTTTCATTAATGGATCTACAATTTCAAATCGGGTGTCGATGGGAAGACTTTAGAGAGTGTGCACAATTCTGAAGATGGATAGAAGGGTTGATGAACAGAGAGAGGAGATGGACTTAGGGAGGCGAGTTTACCCTATCAAAAACTGACAAAAATGGAAAGAATGAAAATAATATTGGTACGGAAGGAGTAAATTCCATTAGATGAAAATCCCACCTTAAACATTATACCATAATCTCACCTTATGGTCACCTTAATACGTAGTAGAATAGCAGGTCATTATTAATTTATTACGGAAATAAGGTGACCATAAGGTGGGATATATGGTATAATATTTTACAAAGATAGGAAAATAACTTAAATAGCAGGGTCATCAACCGGTCAGGGCCAACAAACGAACATAGGGCGTAAAGGTTGGATTATTCCTGAATAACGAAAATGTGAGACTATTATAAGAAGTCCGCTAAAATGTTGAATTATTAGTTTCCATTTTACCTTTAAATTATACTTTATACTTCAATACAACTTTTGTGAGAGAGTGAACATATAAAATTAATTATTACAATTAGTATACGGAGTATATTATCACGGAAAAATTTAAAAGTTTATCACCAAACTATCATAAAACAAAACAAACATAAAAAAAAACCTCTAGATTTATGTATAAAAATTAGAACTAATTAGATCATATGCATGAGGCATGAGATCGAGCTACATATATATACACCGTCCATATAGGTCAACAAAAAGATGAAAAAAAGTTGCTTTCGAACAAAGGCGTTTGGCTACTTCTCAATTCTAACCGACACTTCCACTGCCTGATTATCCGTCAACGCCGCAGGGATGTTTCCCGGCTGAGAACCGGCGGAAGGAACTGTCTCCGCCCTGCAGGGCAGGAGATGACCCGAGATTTTCACGGGCAGGATCCGGGCTCTGCAAAGAGGGCAGTTGGCGTGGGCCCGGAACCACCTCTCAATGCAATCCGCGTGGAAGCAGTGCTCACATCCGGGTAAAACCCGACCCGTCTCACCATCCCGGAGATCCGACAAACAAACGGAGCATTCCACCGGCGTGCCGTTATTAGTCCATTTGGGGAACGAACAGAGATGGGGGAAAGTCGGAAGCGTTTCATGTAAAGATGGGTCGGGCCCAATTGGGGCAGAACCCGCAGAAAAGGAATCTTCCCGGTGGTCGGGGCGGCGACTACGGCGGCAGGAGATCCGCCGGAGAAACAGACGGGAGAAAGCGAAGAAAAGGCAAACGATTGCAAGAACGACGACGATGATTAACGTGAGCTTTCCGGTATACGCAAAGTTTGAGCATGTGGAAAGCTTTCTTAGTGGAACAGAAGTTGTTGATGATGAGTTCTCAGCCATGGATTCCGATCATTATTTAGCTTTCTTCTTCCTTTGAACTTTGAAGTAGAAATATATATACGTGTATGGGGTAGTTAAAAGCTGGTAATAACAAGTGTGGGGGTATATGCATGGGGTTTTGCTATAGGTACCCCAAAATGGGGTACCCCCATTTGTCCCCCACCCTATTGGGTGGCCACAAATGAGCCAACCCAATTATGTGGTGCCCCACTTAAATGAGTTGCCTCATTTGTGGCCACCCAATAGGGTGGGGGACAAATGGGGTACCCCATTTTGGGGTACCTTTAGCAAAATTCATATGCATGATATGGCCGGCGATACTTATCTGTGAAAATTTACGACAAAATAAAAAACTATGGGCTATGGCAGTTGCAGATAATTTGCAGCCTTAAGGAAGGAGGGGAGGAAGTTTCGTTAAAAGGGAGTAAAAGATTAAAAAAGATTTCACCGGCCCCCACGTCCCTTTATATTTGAATATTCATAAAAAATTTGATACCTGTTACTGAAAAGGTGAGAACTCCGGTACTCATTTAAAAAATAAGGTACCGTATCTCAATTTTAATTTAGACTTAAATAATTCAACTGCAACATTCTGATTGGTCTATGTGGACAAAGGTACGGTAACTTTTGGATAACATACAATCTACCTACTAAAAATACTTGTTTTATAAGATACGGAGTACATAGTTCATAGTTCATACTTCATACTCGTATGCATTTTGGGTTCTTCCAAAAATTGAATCACATTAATTTTTTCTAAAAATACTTGTTCTCTAAGATACATACTCCTTTACATTTTGGGTTATTCCAAAAATTGAATCACATTAATTTTTTGTTTTCTGAGTTTATAATGTTTTTATTTGAACCGTTTTCAATCTCACACCTGATAAGACCAAACCAGAGTAGACATAAATAGACCAATTTAGACCAGGCTTTTATATAGTTATAAAATACACAGAGATCAGACATTAACCACACCAGACTATATCAGTTCAGACCAAATTAGATCAGACTTAAACAGACCATACAAAACCAGATCAGACCAGCAAATTTTAGTCTAAGTAAAAACATCCTTAATCACTTCCGACTTTGATTTTTGTAAATGGTGTCTTACTTTTTCAATATTGAGATTGTAAAATAACTATTTTGCTTTTTGTTTTTTTAAAATTCACGCCAAATCCAAATGTTTTTTACCTTATGAGGCAAGAGTGTGTATTGTTGTTTATGCTAAACAGCTAAAGTTTCAAAAAAGAAATTGTCATATATATGAGTGAAAACGCACATATGGAATTCCAATATAGAATCACTATGTTTTTTTCTAAATGGAAGTATAGAACTAATTAGCATCAAGTTTGAAAATTGTTGCCAAATTTAAAGTTTGTTAATGTCAAAATGTGGCAATAATTATACGGAGTACTTATTTAGGGGATAAAAACATACTATCCTCCGTTCCAAATTAGATGCAACATAGCCCAATGGCACACAGATTAAGACAAAGTCATAAAGTAATTTGTTTCCTATTCTACCCTTCTGCACCCGTCCTCCCTCATCTGTTAGAAGCGTATGAGTGACTGACCGCAGGTCTGGAGTCCAAAGAAGTACCACAGCCATGATTTTTTTTATCTTTTCTCTCATACACCCTTTTCTTCTCCCACTTAGAAGGAATGAACCGTCAAAAACTGATGGTTACGCCTTACATGAGCATCCATGTACCGTACTGGAGTCCAATTGTATTCAGCTTTACATGAGTTCCCCTTCCCCTGATGATTACGTCGTTCCCGACCAGTTGAGATCTTAGCCACAAGTTTCTCTCTAGTTCTGTCTCTTTCAAGAAAGGTATCTCTTTCTCGGCCGGAGGATGAGCATCCATGTCGCCTATGCTGCCCATGTCTACCTCTTTTGCTCCTGATTTGAGAAATCGCTTCAGTGTTATCAGATTGGGTCTTGACGAAAGTGGCAGAGCAAATAAATTTAATTTGTGTCGTCCTCCACATACAGAATGTTTTTGCTGTAACTTCAAACAAAATGAAAGAAATGAAAAGAAGGAAGAAATTGGAGGAAGGATGAAGAAAAAACGAAGCCAGAAGAGAACGAGATGTGTGTAACAGTAGATTAGGGAATGGGAGAGGGAAGAAATGAGAAAGGTGAAGGAGTGAGCAGATGGTTGAAAAGATCGGATGGCAGGAATTTGTGGTGCAGATGGGTTTAGTACTTTAGTACTACCTCCGTAACTGATATATCTTCCCATGTGAAAAGTAGGTGAGATTAAGAATAGTGATAGGAGATATAAATTATTGAGGGTATGATGGGAAAATAATGAAATAGTGTGTTGGAATGAAGGATAAATCCAAAAGAAGTAGTTGTAATAGTGTATTATTTTTAAAATTATTGAGGGTATGATGGGAAGATTTTGAAATGGGAAGATATGATTGTTACAACTAAAAATGGAAAGTGGGAAGATATGAGTGTTACGGAGGGAGTATGAAGCATTACTTTATTGGATTTAAGGGTAATAGAGTCATTGTGGTTATTTCTTATTACTAAAAAAGGTAATGTTGCAATTAAATTGAAACTACCCAAAAAGGAAAGTGTTGCAACTAAAAAAGAACGGAGGGAGTAATATTTTAACTCAAGGGCTTAGACACTTGGCTGGAGAGGATTCTGATGCTTAACTCAAATAAGAGGGTGTTTTGATCTGGTTTTTAAAATTGCTTCTGATTTTTCAGGGAGTAGAAACAGAAGTTGGATTGTTTAGGTGAAAGTACAGAAATACTTCTGATACTCTTATTTACTCCAAGAAGCAGTTTTTTGGAAGTTGGGGGAGACCAGATTCTAAAAAAAAGATTCTGATTCTGGGTCTGCTTTAAAAAGAAGCAGAAGCATAATCAGTTCCAAACACCTCATAAGTTTACCAAGGCGTGAACAAGTTAGAACAAAATGTGCGGTAAAAGCCTTCTATCAATATGTGAAGACATATCTCCTTAGACTGGGCAAGGTCATGATGTTACAAGACTAGAACGGATTCAAAGAAAGCATATCATATCAGAATTATACCTTCCAAATTTAGACAGTAGTAAACTACACATACTCCCCCGTCCCTTAAAACTGTCAACTTTTCTTTTTTAGATGCCCCACTAACTTTGTCACTTTCCTTTTTAAATAAAGAATTTGTGGTTCCAGATAATTTTCTCTCCTCTGCACAAACTTCAACCACACAGTTTTTATTTTATTAATCCCTGTGACGGTCAAACTTGACAAAGTTTGAAGGAATGGAGGTAGTACATTACATCAAATGAGACTTAAATAGACAAGACTATAAAAGTTTAGTGGCCGTTTGGAGCCATAAAATTGGGCTGATAAGCCTTAAAATCTAAAAATAGAGTCAAACACATGTGTATTTGGCTGTTTGGGCTGATTTTCCTTATCAGCCAAAAAAGCAACCTTATTGCTACTTTTTGGGCTGAAAGGTATATATTTACGGTTGAAACCTGAATATACTCCTTTACCCTTCTACTATCCCTGTTAACGCATCGCCTCAGAATAGTCGAAGACCATTTCCAAATCTGTTGCGTCGAGTTTCATCTGCTCTGCTAGCCCGGCTCCTCCATATTCGTCAAATAAGCTGCCCTGCTCTTCTTCTTTCTTATTTTTCTTCAATTGTTAGAAGACCCATCCACGATATGTGCGATCTTCTTCGATTGCAAGATGCACTCTTCTTCTTCAATTCGTTTTCAATTTTTTGATTTGTTTCTAACCTTTGCTACATACTTCTTATCTATTTTCATAAAACCTAAAATGAAGAAAAGTAGAGGCAGGAGACCCATCCACGATATATGCGCTCTTCTTCAATCATAAAATTCACACCATATATTTAATACAACTAAACAAATACCCTTAGTGGTAATTTCACATTCATTCAGCCATTCCACCCAAAATATTACCAAACACTTTTACTTCAGAAAGTTAAGTCTTTTCAGGCTTTTCAGCCTTTCCAGCCATTGCAGCTGCTTCCAAACAGGCCCTTAATTAGAATTCTAGATTATATTTACCTTGCATCCAAGCAAGACTAAATAAATAGTATTCATTCTACACATTTCATTTGAATATGTTTAAATAAAACACTACTTATGTTATTTAAAATAATTTATTTGTTAAAAAATGTTATCAATCATTATAATCTTAGAAACATCACATGTCGACGTCAGATAAATAAAATTTGATTTCTTTGGTAAAAGAAAATCATTAAAATTTGACTTCTTTGGTAAAAAAACATTTTTAATAACTTGCATGCAATTATAAAAAATTAATTTGAAATTGTTTGATGATTCTTTAAATAAAATTTGATGTGACATCAACATGCATCACCATTGCGGGTCATGTCCGCATATGATCGTGGATTTTTCCAATCCCCTTGCAATTACCCAATTTCCCGCTCTCCAAATACGTACAAGGGATAGCACATATGGTCCAATATTACAACAAGGGGAATTCATCCTAGCACATAGGCTGCTAGGGTGAATATTACAACACAATTAACCCAATTTTGGATTGGGATAATCACCGCCCACTCCCCACCATCAAAATCATCCTCACTTATCACAACTCGAGTACTCATTTTAAAAATGGGGTACCGTACTTATCATTCACATAATTAATCCAAATTATTAATTATATAATTTTTAATATTTCAATTCGCAGTAAACAAAATGTTAGATTCTTTCAACTACACGGCCGTGTTGTTCTTTCAACTCTTTTGATTTGATCATTTGATGTAATATTAGACTTCACTATCATGCATGTTATACGGGTTATATTAAAAGTAAAGATAGATTTAATAAGTAAAGATAGGATAGTGATGGTATCATGGATTAAGACCATGGCCTAATTGCGGAATTATAATTAAAGCCCATAAACGGGATCTAGTCCTCAACGAGATTAGCCCTCAACGGGTTTAGCCCAAGGATTAAGACCCCATGAACGGGATCAGCCTGTAAACGAGATCAGGGGTGGAGACAGGGAGGGGCTGGAGGGGGCCTCGGCCCCTGCAAGAAAAAAATTCTTAAGTATATATTATGTAGAAATACTTTTAATTTATTGAAAATA